GTGGCTTGTAACGTTTGCGGAACTTGTGATCGCAACGGCTGTGTGTACATGTGGAATGCACCTTGGTACGTTGGATTGCCACTTACTTAAGAGCTGCGGTGAACTCACTGTTGCGCATCTCTTCAAGGTACAGCATCTAAGCCTATGTCTTTGCGCCCGAAGAATCAGAATAAGCCCACTCGTACGTACTAACACTTGCTGTGATATGATACGGCAGATTACTAACTTGTGATCTGTAGCACCCCTCGACCAAATCGAACCCCACATCAGGCGACTGTGGAAAGCCCGCCTGACGGATAAGGAGATACTGGCGGAAATCTGCAAGCATATTGATACAAGCGTTTATGGCATAGGGTGAGGTCCATGTTCGTTCATGGGAAGGAGCAGGTTTCGACTTACTGTCTTAGCAGTCTCACCAAGTTTCAAGAAATTCGAAAGCAGCTGGGACTTCTTCGCACCCGCCAGCAAGGGCACACCTGCGAGAGCATTCAAGACATCATGGTTGAGATGCGGAGGATGTACCCCGATGCCGGGCTACATGAGATGATCGGCTTGCTTTTTCATGAGCACGGCATGGCCGTCTCAAGGTGAGTGGACGTTTAACCATGTGTAACACTGACCAGAACTTTACATGTAGAAGTGTGATGCGTAGTTACTTCATTACCTATGAACCCCACCTGCTGAGACAACGCAAGGTCAATCGATTGCAGCGTCGCCGCTTTTGGGCGGCTGGTGTAAACGATATATGGGCTGTAGATCAACACGACAAATGGTTGCGTTTTGGCCTCGCATTGCATACTGGCATCGAACCCTTTTCGGGCCGGATCCTTTGGACGAAGGTTTGGCACTCCAATCGCAATCCACAATTGATACTCTCATATTTCCTCGATACCGTGAAAGAATTTGGCTGTAAGTATTTTCCTATTTTGTATTTGCCCTGCCTCACACACTGTGATCAGACATTCCCATGATCACTCAGAGTGATCCCGGCACGGAAAATTTCGGAATCGCAAATGCGCAAACCTTGCTGCGCCAGATGCACGACCCGACTCTCGAGGGCTACGTTCAGCATCGGTGGATGCGCACCAAGAAGAATATCAAACCCGAGATAGCTTGGTCACAGCTTCGCCGCCGGTTTTCTCCCAGGTTCGAGTCGCTGCTCGATACAGGTGTAGATGCCGGTTGGTACGATCCCGACAACACATTACAGCTGTAAGTACAATACACACCCAACCCTGCGTGCATTAGACCTAATCTGCCCACAGCATGGTCTTTCGTTGGGTATTTGTACCTTGGCTTCAAGTCGAGCTGAACAGCTATCAAGACCGCATCAACAACAGTCGAAAGCGCCGCGACAAAAAGAAGGTATGTTCATTAGTCAGTAAATGTGGATGTACTCACTGATAACTCCTGGGTTAAGGTTTTACCTCACGGGATCCCAGAGCTTATATTCACTTGCGCAGAAGACTACGGAGCATTAAATTTCAAAGTGAGTATTTCTTCTGTTTGACTCGAGTACGATGCTAACCTACTTGCACTGCATGTTAGATAATGGTAACTCCGGCTGCCATCGAACAAGTACGACAACTCTACGTAAATTCCAACCACGTTGTCTTCGACCTTGTGCCACCTTCTCTCAACGCGTTCATCGAGGCATGCTACCTCCAGTTGGGTCGCCCTTCCGTCGGACGCACATCCGCGTGGCAGATCTATAGTGACATCTTGGGTCTAATGCAGCGCTGCAGTGATGTGCCCGCCATCCTGATGACGATAGAAGACCGTGTTACAGAGCACGTCGAAGAGGTGAACCTCCTTCCCGGCCTTAACGATCTTCATGAGACGGAGGGCTACATGGGTGGTGTTGCGAACGGATTGGGCCTCCGTAAGTGATTACCAGATTTTTTAACTTAATTTATGTCTGATCTGTCTTCGTTTCAGAAGCCGGCCATTTACGGGCAATGGACGCATTCGGTAACGACGAGCCTGACATTCAGAATGAGATCGACGCTGCCCCCGCACTGCTAGTGGCCCATTTTTCCTCAGAGGATGACGATGACGAGGCAGACGAGGAAGATGTCAATGCCTACTTATGATTGAATGTAGTGTATCCTAGATCTTTACTACATGATGTGACGTCCGTGTTGATAGTTTAGTGTGGCCGATGCACATACAACCATACTCGCAATCGATGTCCCCACTTCACGTATTCAATACATCTGATCGGACATACGAAAACCTCGTGCAGTACATGGTGCTGGTAGGTGGTACATATTTACATACGAAGGGGACAAGATCGAGTGTTCACGCAGCATGTGCAGTCATGAGGCATTCATCGATCATCTTTGATTAGCGAAATCAACCGCGGGAATGTAATAATGACAACGTTCTCGTACGGAAAGCGGGTTGCTTTCTCGAGAGTACCTCGGAATGCACCTGCTCTCAATCTTATCCGACTCCTTTCTTGAAACGCCCTGCAACTTCTGGTACATAAAATGGGGCGATGGCAAGCTGTTGGTCCTCAGCAACCCCATGGCCGACACCGAATACTACTGGGCTCTTATTGGCAGCGATGGAAGTGCTCATGTTTACGGGTCTGACGACTGGTAAGTAACTCAAACTCGATCTTACGTGCGAGTACTGAAGCACGTAGTCCATTTATTGCATGTGGCCGTCAGTCACCAGCTTTACCCCTCACAATCCAGTGTAAATCAAGTGCCGAGGCTAGGCGTGTTGCGAGAACTCTTCAACCCATTGCAGATTCACTTCCACGAGGTGCAGACCATACACAGATTCTCGCGGCATTCGACATCCCACCTGTTCGAACGTTACTCGAAGATGAAGCTAGTTTTTATGCGATTGTCATAGGTTCACCCCCCAGTATCCATCGTACCGCGTAAGTCTTCACCTTGAGACTATGCAGTCTGTAGCCTAACTTCATGCAGCGAGAGTGCAGCGCGTGCCGAAGGATCATTCAGATACCGAATACGCAGGCAAACCACTTCGTTTTGGACGGCACTAGCTTTCATGATCGTCAAAGGAATTGCGCAACGCATGCCGCCCATGTTGACCTACAATGAGATAGGTGAAAATCCCACTCAGTCCGGAGTCGACTCTTTGGCGGATCAACTCCGTCATTCACTAACCGTTTCATCCCAAACCTCCCCAACCATCTCCACACCTTCTCGTACTTCCTTACCCTCACCCTCGCCCGGTTCATCGTTTTTAACCTCATCCGCTTCTCAGCGCTCCTCCGCTCTGCCCTCGACCAGCCCTTCCAGTTCAGAGGCTGTGGTCTCTCCCATCATCTACAGTCATGTTCGTAATCTGCGCGGCGTCATTTCCAGCAACTATTATCCAACATCGACTGCACGCATCCGACACCTCGCTCGCCCACTGGGTGACCTGGCAGCTCGATATCTTGCATCCCATGGATATGGAAGTGAGGCCGTTGATCGTATCATCGAGGCACACAGACGTGCACATAGCAACGAAGAACTTATCACGTTTCTCGCTGGCCAGGGTATGTCCGTTAACGAAGCCAAGTTTTTACTGGTACTCGTAGACCTACGTGATACTGTACCGAGATAAAACGACTTAGGCTTGTATATGCGCATCTCAAATCGAGTTTTTTGTTTGACTTTTGCTCACTGGTACTTTGGACTGAGACATATGTATAACCGTGCTAGTAGTGCTATGACAAATTGACTTCCATGCTGTGACATACTGACATATGTGCTAAGGCATACTGACTTTTGTGCAATTGACTTCCGTGGTATGACATATTGACTTCTGCACTACGACGTATCGACTTGGTCATTTGAACTTAAGGTGTCGGACGTTCGGACATAGGCAGATTGGTGATTGGGGTCTCACCGAAAGTCATTTTCCAAAAGTAGTATCGACTTCGGCAAAATTCACTCGGCGCCAGAATTATGTGGCGCGCGTGTCCCGCTTTCCATACTCATCCACGCTTCGGTCGTTTGCTCTCTGCACAAGACGCAAATGTCAGCTTCCACTCTCTTGCATGCACCATTGTCGAGGACATACACTTCGACGGCAGGTTGCCGCGTGCTGCGATCTCTCCAAGGTTCGTCGTTGCGCTACACCGCGATTGTCGCATCCTGAGCGATTTCTGTCAGTGAGACGTGCTGCTAGCTCGTCAGCGCAGTACGTTCCAGGTGGACGTATGTATCAAATTCATGTTTGTTTGATCCTGCAGCTTCTAAAGTGAACCAAAGCCATCTACAAGGGTACCGTGAATGATCCAACCACCTTTCCCCCACCGTCCAAGATGCACGGTTCACACCATTGGTCATTCGAACGTCTCCTGGCCGCATCTCTCGTCCCAATGACTGCTGCTGCATTCGTCACCTCGGGGTCTAGTTATCCCGCTCTCGATGGAATTTTTGGCGTAAGCTTGGTCATGCACAGTCATATCGGGGTAAGAATCGATTCGAGAGTGGTATGGTCATGTCAATTGAACGATTGGACCTTGCCAGTTTGACTGTATGCTTGTGGACTATCTTCATCCGCGGAAATTTCCCTTCCTTGGAAATTTCATGAAATGGACACTCCGGACAATGACACTCGGTGTTCTCGTTGGAGTATACCAATTCAACACAAACGATATCGGTGTGTGACGTTATATCTCGCCTCTTCCTTTGAAGACTATCTAATGCATGTGACCCGCAGGGCTGACGGAACTAATCGCAAAGGCGTGGAAGGCATGATTGAGGGCTTCCACTAAGTCCGCAGAGTAAAATGTTTGTCGTGTGAAGAGGTCATTTGTCCATTTTATTCCGCATATCTCCATCAATGGAAAACCAACGGGTTTTATTCTGGCGTCTCACACTACATCATTGATATTCACGGAGCGGCAAGGTAAGTTTTTCAGCGTACTATCAAGTAGTAGCTAGCAGTTAGAATACCGTGAATTGTTTTGATGTTTCCCGCCGAATCGTCAACTCGATCCTAAGGTAAAAGGAGGTTCCCGATGGCAAGCCCGCTTAGCTCAGTGGTAGAGCGCGTCACTTGTACCTGACAACACTAAAATCAGGGAGATGATGAGGTCGGTTGTTCAATCCAGCCAGTGGGCACTCTTTTTTGTACACCTTGCAACCAGCAATGTAATTAGAAGTGAGTCCAATGCGCTCGAACACCACAACAAGTAGGCATACAGTGTCACACAAGTAAGAGGGTGAAGGGAGCATGGCAGTATGAAAAGGGATGTGGACGTAGTCACTAAGTCACGATAAGCTAGTATCTCTCCGGTCCATTGCTCACATGAAAACCTCAGTGATCGCGGGATTTCCTATCACGTTTCCTGTGAGCAAGCACCATGCGTCAGAAAACGAGGTCGGGGACCGCACCTGTATTCGCCTTCTGCGGCGACGCTCAGCTCTTCAATGGCGCCTTGTGCGGATGAGAGTGCCTCGGCGGCAGCAGCAAAGTAGAGTAACTGTATCAAGCTCACAACGAGTTGTGTCTACAAGAGGACAAGGACACGTACCTGGGCCTTGGCTAGTTCATTCAGATTCTTTAGGGGCTCGGGCTAGAAGTATCAGTGGAGTAGGTGGATAGTAACAACACAGGAGGAATACTGACGTTTTCAAGCACGGCCTTCATGAGTGTAATTGCAACCTCGGTCTTTTGAACGAGGTCATCTTCTGCGTTCTCAACATCTAGTCGCGCCTGCTCTTGCTTGGCAGGACCGGCATTCTTCAAACTATCCATGTTGACTGTCAGTTGATCCAGTGGCCCCTTGGACAAAAAAAAGTGAGATCCCGCACGTTTGTTTCGCGGCATCGAGTTCAACTCGGCTGCTACGGACTGCCTGGCGCGCCTTCATGGCAGCGCCGATGGATGTCGACAAAGTCGTCTGCCATGGTTGAAGGTATTCAGTGTAGATGGACTCGTCATGCTGAAGGCGTGCATCGGCAATCTTTTCCCAAGCTCCAGCATATTCCGCAAGTGCGTTGCAGAGCTTGTGCTCGTTACCGCCGGGAGCACCCTGCATGGCATTGGCAGCACTGGTGGCAGCGCGGCAGAGGGCGTGTGGGAGCGTCTTAGGTTGAGCAGTTGGTGCAGCTACAGGAGACGGGACAGGGAGATTCGTGCCCTTGAGATTGTTGGCCGCGAAATTAGTGATACCGTGCCCGATAGTAGTGGAGAGTTCAGTAATCGATTCCTGAATCTGAACAGGGTAGTCGTAGCTCTCATTCTCATACGCTTTGGTGATCCTGGCCAAGCGGGACCCGTCAGATAGCGGTACAAATGGAGGGTGCGCTGCGACCTTACTTGAGCAAGGAAATATGGGCCTGACGCAATGCGTCGACACGGGCCTCCAGGTCCTTGTACTCTGCATGAGGGTATCAATCAAAGGATGCGAGTAGCTGGTGATTTGGGGAGTGAATAATTGTTACCTTGGGGCAGTTCTGTGATGTCTTCCGGCGCGACTTGGCCCAAGCGTTCCCTGGTCAACTGAACGCCAGAGTTGAAACCCTTCGTCAGTTTGCTTCCTGCCTGCGCGAAATTGATGTTCGAAAAACTCGATTGAAACTTGCTCCAGTCCATGGTTGTCTTTTGGTTTCTGGGCAACGTCTGAGGCTCAGTGGGTCAACAAATGGCTGTGAGTCCGGTGTCAGGGGGCGGAGTTGTCCTGATATGGAAGGCGGTGTCAGATGTCCTCGTCGTGGATGGGCGACGTGTCAGTACCGATCTCGTTTTCTGCACGCTGACCGCCATGTACAGGGGATCAGGCTTTGATTTCTCAAACTCACTGCGGTGAGTGTACCAGCATCGTATTACGATACGTGACCGACGCATGATATACAGAAATGACTTTCTTCAGCGGAAAGGAGTCGCTTTGCCCAAGGCTACCAGTACCGGTACAACGATCGTAGGTTGTATCTTCAAGGACGGCATTGTCCTCGGTGCAGACACGCGCGCAACCGAAGGCGAAATCGTAGCCGATAAGAATTGCGAGAAAGTATGTGTCGCTCGCTTGTATAATTCCCTCCTAGCCAACCTCCGCACGCGACACAGATACATTACATCTCAGAATCTATTCGATGCTGCGGCGCGGGCACGGCTGCAGATACGGAATTTGTAACTGCATCTATATCCTCAAATATGGAGCTGCATGCTTTACATACGGGGAGGAAACCTCGCGTGGTTGCAGCCATGACCATGCTCAAGCAATATCTCTTCAAGTACGAGGGTTACTGCGTCAAGGTGTATAGTAATACTTATCTACCGCAGATACCAGGGCAACGTGGGTGCCGCACTCGTGCTGGGAGGTGTAGACTCGACCGGTGCTCACCTCTTCACGGTCCACCCACACGGTTCTACCGACAAACTTCCATACGTCACCATGGGGTCGGGTAGCTTGGCAGCCATGGCCGTGTTCGAAAATGGATGGAAACCAAACATGGAGGTAGGCAGACAATTTATCCCCTGGTTCCGAAGTGATATCGGAATGGTGACGTTTGTTCTGCCGATCAGCGGGAGGAAGCCCTCAAGCTAGTTTGTGATGCCATCGCTGCAGGCATTTTCAATGACCTTGGTTCCGGATCCAACATCGACGCTTGCGTCATCACGGCTAGTCACACCGAAACGCTGAGAAACTTTGTCAAACCTAACGAACGCATCGCGAAAGAAAGGAAGTACGGATTTAGACATGGGACGACGGCCATCAAGAGCGAACATATACGCAGCCTGGTTGTCAGTGAAGAGATTACGCCGATCAGAGGCGAGGCCATGGATGTCAGCTAGATATCTGGTAGGAAACACTGTAATACTGCTACTCATTCAACTGGCTGCCCCGTTGATATCACGAATTTTCATTCTCTGTACTATCTGGAGTAACAAGGCTCGCGGAACCGAGGGGCCTCCTCGAAACATACGTGATAACTATGCAAGGGAATGTTGTACAATGTATGTGCTACTGCTGCTTTAGACCAAAATGCGAGACACCGCTCGGAATGCAACGAATACAAGGCTATAATCACAGCGAACTCCGGTTTGAATCTGAAGCTGGAGAGATGACCGCTACGAGGACGGAGATGTCTGTCAAGTTGAAGTCAGTACGGTCATCGAGCATCATGCGCCTTTCATCTTACCATCTATTTTTCCACCCTTGAAAGACTTGCCTTGCTCCCTTGCCCGTCGAGCGAAGGGAACTTCATCTTCAACCTCCCCATTCTCATCATCAGCGACAGTGTTTCCCCTCCTCTCTGAGACACGACGCGCCCTCGAGCACAACGCTTCGCTCAACATACCAGCCAGAGTTCTGCGTCCAAGCAGTCCACCTACGCTGCGTTCGCTGTCCTGCAAAAAAGAGCGCTTGAATCGAACGACTTCGTCAAGGACTTCCGAGTCCCACAGGTTGTCGCTGAGCCCGTCACTAGCGAGAATGAGGATGTCATCTGCCTGCACCGGGAGTTCCACGATCTGCGCGTCACGTGGGCGGGCAGAAGAACGAGGACCAAGTTGAACAGGGGTATTAAATTTCCACCACATCTCCTCACTACGCCATGCGATCTGTTCATCGCGCACAAGCATACCCATACAATCACCCAAATGTGCAATCTTGAGAACTACATCGCATGCAGAGGTAGATGATGGAGAAGAGAAGAGCATCGGTTTAGGTGGAGAGACATTCTGTGGTGAATTCCGCTGTGAATGTTGCAAAATAGCCACAAGTGCTGTAGACGAGCCCGTCAAGAGCGGTACTGTCTTGGGAAGGGAGGGTATGGGAGCCTCTGGCGGTTGCGGTGCTGGAGGCTTCTTGTGCGCAGTAGACTCTGCGATGATGACGACGTCGTCGTCCTCAGGTATCGTTCCAAGTGAAGGTGTACCAGTCTTGGCCAGTGATGGCGGAGAGGAAGACGTCTCCGCAGGCTCCGTTACAACGTGAGCCTTGAGCGTGTTCTCGTATGCACGCTCGAGAATCATCAATACGTCCAGTCCGTCCTCAAGGTCTTCCAAAGAATCTTCTAGTTCTTCATTGAGTTGATCTGGATCAGCGCTCCGCGACCACGAGTCAGCCAAGGCTGTGCAGTTCGTATGCCTGGGCGATACACTGCGAGACGGAGAGGCAGTTCTGTGATGGGAGGTAACTGTCTTTTCTGCATGGAGTGTTTCCGCCGAACAATGATGCATGAGCCGCCTCGCAAACAATGCGCTCGGAGTGGGATCTTCTGGTGCATGGTTGGATGCTGTCGCATCTAAACACAAAGGATCATGATGAGACGCGCATGGACAGTAGTTGAGATGAAAAACACACCTTTCGGCCGTGACCAACCTCCGACGCCATCGGCGACGCCCATGGCATTTTCGCGGACAAAGTAAGCATCCTCGCCAACTTGGACTGCGAGACTGAGGTCCTCTGCCTGTGGGCCGCGGCCCTGGAAAGGGGAGTTGTTGCTGTAGTCGTCTCTGCGGGATGTGGCGTGCTTGCTGGCTCGCTTTGGGATACCATATGCACCCACGTCGAGGTGGTAGCGCACGCGTGGACGTTTTACGTGCTTGCGAGAGTCAGAGTGATCTGAGACATGAACGTTGTAGAATGGCACGGGCGAGAATGAAGAGTAAGGGAAGAGGCCGGCTGTTTGGTAGGCCACTGAGACATGTGGCGGGGAAGTATTTGCCTGGGGAGAAGTGAGTGCAAGCGAGAAGGGCGGCTGACTGGATGTCTGCCCGTGGCCGTTGGGAGTGCTTTGTGTGTGCTGGCTGGACGAGCCTTCGCCCTCCGCTTTGACAGGGAGGCGGGATGTGGAAAGAGCATGGGGGTTGCCTGGACGTGAGCTGGGAGGAGGTGGGGGTGGGGAATCGAAGAAGGCGAGTGGCCCCGAGGATGCGTTGGTGTAGAGCGAGCGCGCAGACGGTGCAGAGTTCGACCGCACTCTGGACAGCGACGACGACGACGACGGCGAGGCGCGAGGCAGAGCCGTACAAAAGCGCTTTTGAAATGTCTTCATCGTCGGACCCGGCGCACTCATTTTCTTCACATTCGACTGAGCTCACTAAACAACAGTGGACACCGACGATGAGGACGACGACGAGTGTAAACGAAAATTATAAAATCACAGATCAC